CCTAACTCAACTATTTATACACTTATTAGGCTATCTAGAATATTCCTTCCTGTCTGATACTAGCCTGTTATGTTCCCCTGATACCAGTTCACAGTCTCACTGCCAGTTGCTAGAATCTTCTAGTCATGTTCAGAATAAACTAGAGTGAAGTTTCGCCTTTCACAGAATTGTTGAGGCACGTGATACAGGACAATTATCGGCTCACTAGCCGTTACAGGACTACGTCGATATTCAGCTCGAATACTCGGGCAAGTGCAATATTCTGTGTTGGACCTCCTCTACCTACGTTTATTGATATGAAACTTAGAGTAGGAGGGAGGCGGAAAGGGGCCCGTGGGGCGCCCTTTATGAGTGATTTTTCGGGACGACCGCCTCTGTGACCTCAGTCACGTTTGGCGTCTCATCCGTCATTAGAACCTCGTAGCTGTTATTGGAGCTGTAGTTCGGCGTAGCTGTTTTGGCCATCTCAGTGGCGGCTTTGATATCGGCCTCTGCTCGTCGAACGGCGGTTTTCGCCCGGATCACCGCGGCATATTCGCATTGGCTAGCGTACCTGATCTTTTCGAGGGTTTCCCTAGAAGCCATTCCGGACTTATTAGGGCGGGCCAGACAGTTTTGGCTGTCTGATCTGTGAGGACCCCCGCAGTTGCGGCACTTGGTGTGTCCTTGGCATTCCGAAGTGGAGTGCATTGTTGAGGTGCAGTTCCAGCACACTGGGGCGCGCGAGCAACTCTGGGTCCCGTGGTATAAGAGACATCGCTTGCATTGGCTCACAGTTTGGCGTAGCTGATGGCGAACAGCGATTCCCGAGTCGTCAAATAGTCGGAAGCCTAGTCTAGGGACGGACGCTCTTTCAAAATGAGCTACCCATGTCTGGTATGGGGCTCCGACTCTCCCTTTTCCATGAGGGCGGACCCTTACCGGAACCTTTGAAGTGACCCTGGCGATTTCTTCGGCCACCATCTCGTCGGTGACAACTACTTTACCTAGGAGTGTGTGAATTGCGACGGGAATTGTCGCAGTACGAAGAGCCACTAAATCTGAGGCCTTCTCCAGGATTGCGTCTACCTGGACGAAAGACTCAGCAGAGTCCAGAAGGAGCTGTCGTACCTCCAGGTTTTTGGCTCGGAGTGCAAAGCCAGTCGGAACACGGTATACATGTTCAATATTCTGCGGGGGTAGCTCGAGCAATTTTGCTGTCGCATCTCGGACACCGGCCGGTGAGAGTGCGCGCCAAGCATGTTCTTTTCCGAGTCGAAGAAACAAACGATCATCTTTGGGGCCAGTTTTCTTAGCTTTTGCCGGAGATCTCGTTGGTGTCGGGGGTTTGTTATGGACCCGCACATCTTTCACAGGTGCTGCTGGCGTGTGGAGGCCAGTTCGGGTAACTGTTGCCCAGGTAGGTTTGACCTGGGTCACCTTGACCTGGGTCGCTTTTTGTAGCAGCTCTGGCTGCTTTTCAATCGTTTGTTCCACGATCTTTCCGCCATGATTCTGGCAGTTTGGTCGTGAGGGGAGGTTGGGAAGGACTGTCCCTGGTCCCGACATCATGAATTGAGCTATTGCAGCTCGGAGGTAGACTTTCATGGAGTCTATAAATTAAACGCTTGACCCCTTGGATAGAGGTGAGAGCGCATTCTCCACACCATTGATAGCAGCGGTGCATATTGTGAGATTAGTTGCGGTCTGGGCTGCTCGCTGTTCTTCGGCTTCAAGTATGGCTCGAAGCTCGGGAGGACAAGTCGCAGTGTTCTTGGAGTTGCCATCGCTGCAAGAAGTTTGATTATTTCCACTTGTCCTCGGAATGGTATTCTGAGGTGTTGTGGTGGGCGCAACTTTGTCGGCTTTTTTAAGTTAGCATTAGCTGTCTGCTTAATGGCTGGCACTGTAATGGCACGGCATTTTGCCATGTCATTACATATATCAGGTGACTAAGAAGGTATACTTGTTAAGGAGTCAATTTGCGTGAGGAGAAAAGATAAGGTCACGTGATCCTGTGAAGTGAGAGGACACACACAAAAGCTCACGGATTCTTTTTACACTAGAATTTCTTTTTCTTTCCCTTGTCTAAGTATTCGCTCAATAGATTGAATATACAGTTATACAAGCTGTACTTTCACTTGTTCTTATTCTACGCCGTGACAGGCACAGCAATCTTCCTTGTGTTTGTATTGACGGGGGTCTCTGAGACCTGACTGTCTTTGGGTTCATTGATTTTCCATTGTGAGCTCTCACGTCCCTCCATGATATATCGATCAATAACCACATCACCCATTTCGACATCAGGGTTTGTAGAGTTAGAATCTTCTTCAAAGGCTCTTATCCTTTCGGTCATGTCCAGCTCCATTTTTCGCCCGTCTATTGAGCTCAATGATATGTTCTTTTTTGCCAAGCGCTTTTCCAGCCTGATGTTCGCTCTATCAATGGTTCTTTGAAGGCGAATAGGTCGCGATGATTTGGCAGGCCCCGGAGACATGTTGGAGATCCGGGGCCTTGCTACTGAGAGAATTCGGATTAGTGTAAGTATATGTGAGTCGGAAGGGAACGGTAATGGTAATGGGTATCTAATCAATTCTCTCACAAATATTCAGGAATTCTAGCTTTGATATTGTGTCACAGCTAGATAGCTGCATACGCAATTAAAATCTGATGCAAAAAAAAAAAGCCTGCAGGGCACCTAGTGGATTTAGCGAGGTCATTACAGCAAAAGAACTCTTTAATGCCGGCAAAGACGAGTCCTTAACCGTCCAGTGGTGCGGGTGTAATCGCTTAGTACGCTCTGTACATCTGGTTTGTTCAGGAAGAATTGTATCCGAATCGTCAATGATATTTTTGTAATTGTTATGTCTATGACTATCTAGCACATTGGGCTCCTCTCTGACCCAGGCCACACCTTGTACAGTGCTCCTTGCCTCTTTTGTTACTCGAAAGATCATTGATATATTGCCCGTGATGAATAGCCATTCAGCTCAGTATTTACCTGTGGATTTCAGCCACCTTTTCCACATAACTTTTTACCCAAAAAAATTAAAATGGGAGGAATTGAAACTACGTGCGCGGAAAAAAAGTCATCAAAACCTTCAGACCGAGCCAAGCGAGGCCTAGACACCGAGACCACACGAGGTGCGCATATTCATCTATATCTCCCTTCTTCGTAACATTCGAGACCGATATGATCCAATTCACCATCGCCGTATCAGGTGCTGGGTACGCTCCGAAAGCTCATCGGATGGCTTTTCGTCCATGATCAAGGGTCAGTGATGAGAAGGGTTCCGACCCTACCATCTGATCTGATCGTGGTTAGCTTCATGATGATGGTTATAGGTGGTTGTGCTTGGATATGAAGACGATACAGACGGCGAAAGCGATTGGGAATCCTTATTTAAGTGAGAACTTTGATACTCAATATCGGCTCTGCAGACTCTACAGTGAGAGCTGGAGGTTCATAGGGAGCACCACTGACAGGTGTTGAGAATAGTCCCCCAAACTCTTTTTTGAGAAAACGAAGGAGTTACAGAACTTTGCGCCAGCACATACCTTTCAAAATACAATGGATACGAAATACTTCTGCGACAGTGCTGTGTCAATTTCACATAGTCTTGCATAGCGTTTATGCAAATTACACTAAACTGAAACACCTCAATACGGTATTCACGTTACTTGCATTCACACATCGATTTTCGGAAAGCCTGTGGCGCAACTCTATCACTTTTAGTAGGCTATGTGGCGCTATTCACTCAAATTCAACTTTGGTAAATCATCGTGACGAAGAGACTGAATCGCTGTCCTCAAAGGGTCTATCACACGTGCAGCTGATTAGAAAACTGACATCCGCCACTTCTTAGGTCATGACTCGTCAAAATCTTTAACAGCTATTGAACACTCACCCAACCGCCAATTCCTCATCCAGCATGACTTCTCGATTCCACGCGAGTGGCTCGTCTCCAAAATCCGAAGATCCTAATGATGCATGGCAATTAGCTCAGCAGGCAATTGATGCCACCGCAGCTAATGCTAGAGCCCCTTTGGCGAAATCATCAGTACAACCAAGTCTATATGAGACACTCGAAGCCAACAAAGGTACTTTCACAATTTATCACTCCCAGTTCTCAAAACTATGCTTGCTTCTATTCAATCCAAACCGTCGCTGATTACACAGAGCCGTAATAGTTGCCAAACAAGAAGCCTTCGAAGAAGCCCATCGCCTGAAGCATCAGTTTCGTGCCCTTGATGCCGATGAGGCAGACTACCTTGAATCGATGCGCACGAAAGCACGTGAGGCGGAGCTTCGGCGTCAAACCGAAACATCTGAGCTGCTGCAGAAATATCGTCAACAGCGTACCGCCGCGGACGAGCTAGCAACTGTGTCACATGGTTCCGTTAATACTTCTAGTACTGCGAATATTGGAATGAAAGCTGTAAATACTGATCCGTGGCTCCCGGGCCTAAAAAAACGCAAACGTCCTAAGCCTCACCCATCACAAGCTCTAAAGCTCCTTAAAGTCCACCAGCCCTCCGCGCAAAAAGGGGAGGATAATGTAACCCGGGAGAGCGCGTCGTCAGAGAATTTTCAATCTTCTTCTCAAATTTCACATGAAGTGGAAGAACAGTCTGTTAAAACAAATCTCGTCAGCTATAGTTCTGAAGACGAGAAATGATATATCGCGGTAACCACAGTGGGAAGCGATAGTTATCAGTACAAGGTGATGGAGAAGGGACCCAGCTGACACTATGTTTTATGGTAATGATATCACAGCAAGCTATTGGTACCAATTTCTAGAGAGTTATTTCATTTGTCGTATTATTCTTGTGAACCCTAGTTAATGTTGGCAAAATTAGGTCAACGTGGGACCGCCTTAGAGAAATATATGTCCTCTTTGTGACAAGTGATGCATTAAATATTGTTGACTGGGTCAAAGACTCAGCAAGACCTTAAACGCCGGGGGTATACACCAAACACCCGCTAGTATAATTGTTGCGATAATAAATTGTTCAAGACCTTATCCGAATAAAAGTCCATTTACCACATAAATTTCATTCCATCCTTGCCTAGATAGCGACTGGTTTTCATTCAGAAGTTTACCCATATAGGCAATTCGTAATGTTTTAGTAGATGCCATCTGCTTCCTCATCAGTTTTCGACTATAGGGTCTTGGAAATCTTACTCCTGATTCAATTAAAATCTTTTGAGCCACCACTCTTACAGTATCCTCCTTATCAATAAACAATTGAATAGGAGGTGCATCTCGGTCGCTAAGTTTTACGCGTAATTTGATCAACTCTGTGGGTTTGGTTATACATTTACCCTTCTCTCGTGTTCGATTATCCTCTGTACCTTCGAAACTTTGATGAGCTTCCTCTTTGTATTTTCTCTCCTGTTCAGTGGAGTTAATGATCATTACATTTTTAGGGCTTGATGTTATGTGTTTCGGAATGGGATAGTATGCGCCAAAACTGTCATAAATTCCTGGCGATATATTGCTATGGGGAAGAATAATTTCGGCTGCATCAAGGATCTGTTGTGCTGTTTCTAGTCCTACATCTGTAACATCTTTTGAGTTTTCGCTTGCCCACAAAATTTCAAGCACCGCTTTCATTGTCTGCCAAACTTCTGGTCGGCCTGATGTTCTCGTATCGAAAAATTCTGCGCGTTCTCGCTCCAACTCGACATTGGTCCAGATACGTTCGGTGCTTGACCAGATTTGTCGTCGAAGAGGTTTATTTAAGTTCGATGCGTGGTCACTGTTACTTAGTAAGTGTTGATGACTGAAAGAGTTGACAGATGCTTGAAGGAGAGAATCGGGATACTGTGGTTGTGATGAACTTATCGCTCGTGGCGGAGAGCTCGAATGAGGTCTATGGCTAGCGGAGTGCGATGATGGTATGGAAAGACAGCAGCCCTAACAAGAGATTTGTCAACTAAATTCTCGATTCTTTGGCTGTCGATGGGACGTGAGAACTAACCATAATGCCATTCACTGAAAAAGTTCCCTTGTGAGAGAACGAGATTGCAGAGCAGTGTTTAGTTCTTATGGATATACGATCCAGGCGCGTGAATGCCAAGTAAAGTATTAAAAGAACATGAGGCCGGTAGAAAGAATGTTAATTATAATAGCAATGATGGTAGTTTGTAACGAGAAGTCCCTTGAAGACTCATTCCTGCCACTGCTAATCACAAAGACGGGGCTTATCAGGCCGGGGGGGAGGGGAGGAGGGGTGTCAGCACAACGGGCACGAGTCGGGCGAAATGCAATCCATTATGAATATCACAATGAGCGACTTCCCGAAACAGATCATCCCGATCTTTCCTAGCTTATATTTCATCCTTCATATTCTCTCTAATTTAAGACAGTTCTCTAGTCCCTATTAGTATAGGTAGTCACGACTAAATCCTTCGTTTTCGAATTTGCCCTTGTTATGGACGACCAGCAAATAAATGTAAATGGGGATATCATTGCCACCAAGATTGTAGAGAAACCTGGAATCCACGGTCCAGTTACCGTCCCATGTCACTTTGACGTGTGGCTAGCTGTCTCAGTTGTCTAGGCTACGCACTATGGTCTGTGAGCTGCCACTATATCAAGAGCAAAAGAGATCTCTGTCAGCGGTTCATAAGCATCTAAGGTACCGGCTCGTGACGAAGATAATTGGGGCTAGAAATATTGTGATTTTGAGCCTACTGCCGCCTGACCAAATTAAGCTTTTAAGATGGAGTCTGACAGCAACGTATCCCCGAATGCATATCTCTCAGGACCACAAACGGACCTTTGTGTTGGCCAAAATTTGACGATTAGTTTGAATCACAGTTGTAGATTACATGTAACAATTGATTAGACAATCCCTATGCAGCTCAGTGTATAAAATATCACTTCAACTATCTTGACCGATTTGAAAGCGATTCCCCCATGGCCTACATATTTGTATGACATGTGAATGGATCACATGACATTGAAGCTGGCAAGGATTTTCCCCCTTTTTGGGTTATGTTATACCGCGATGCAAAATATTATTTATAAATAGGCGACAGTGGCAAACATGACTAAAGGCACTTGTATTTTGTGTTTATTGTCTTATTCAGTCTATTACTAGATCAGGACATGTAGGCCCACTCTATCCACAGGCCACTATTGTACAGCAGCCGGAGAAAATCGCATAAACTACTCGGTGCGGGGTCTCTAACAACGAATTCTTGACTAAGTCCGAAGACACAGCTACTCTTCTAAATCGGTCAAGCAGTCCGGCCAGCCGGGCGCAGTAGAACTGTGAAGAATTAAGAGCGTCTTTCAACTTTCTTAGCCACACCCTTACTCCTCCCCTGATTCATACCTTACGACAACCCAAGGTCGTAAAAGGATGTCAGAAAAGCCTTGGTCGAGGGTGGCTTCTGTGAAGTAGCTTGGCCTACCATCAATGATTGTTATGAATAGGGATGTTTGAGTGACTCATGTATCATACATATCCTTCGGGCTAGAATTATCCGAAGTATAGGTATAAAGAGACGATGTTGATGAGTTGAAATTTGATCTTCTCGAGAGTAGAAGGATCTTTTGCTCTAATTTTGTGAGTTTTTGGTCCAATCGCCATTGAAAAGAATATTTTCTAATGACGCGGAATTCTCTAACTACCGCTGTTGCATTTTGTACCGCGATAATTTTCCTCTTTCCCAGAATGATTATCGTCATCATAACTGTCTTATGTGTTACATGAAGAGTACATTTGAGGGAGAAGGATAACTCAGCAGAAATTTGGAAAGTTGTTACTCAATCCTGGCCCTGTAGATTATTGTGGGAACTATGGGTTCACAGGAGTCGTCGCTGAAAGGTATCGAGTTTTCGTTTCCTAAGAGGCATGGAGGTCAATACATCACCAATTCGTAAGAACCTATTCGTTTTTAGGCCCCTAATAAAGAAGATTTGAATCCTTTACTCAGATGAGGACGACGATGGAATAATTATCTCTACGAACGACGACGCGAAGGACCCAGTGGAGTTCAAGCTACATAATAAGTCCTGGAAGGAGATTCGGATGATAAAGCCTGCTAATGAAAAAATGGTGGCTCTAGAGAAAGTAGCCAAGAAGAGTCTCGTTGATATCGCCCCCAAAGCGGTTCTACCAACAGTTTTGGTACCGCCGGCACCGAGAACTTACGCGTCGTTAACTGCGCCGCCGATGGCGATGAAAACAGTTCGAAAACGTATAGAGAATGCAGGAAGTATGCAGCTAGAAGAGCCTCTTTGAAGGGCATAGAAATACATTAGAAAGGCTTACGCAGTCCACCAGAGTCGAAGTACTGACACTGAAGTGTTTTTTCAATCGACATGCCAAAGGGACACGGCTCTAAACTTAATGGAATTAGAGGAATCGAAGGTTTTACGGAAAGATATCCCCTTAAAGGATTACGGAGCCCTTCCTGGGACAAAAATTGAAGGAAGAATATTTACCTGCAACTCAAATCTAATCAGGGAGATCGAGGCGTGTACGAGAGTCTGAAATCTAGGACTAATTACAAATATAATAAGACGAATGTACGACGGAAAAAAGCTCGAGCGGTCCATGAATAATGGTCGTCCAGGAGGGTCGATTGTATTGAGCCCTCCCACAGGGGCCTTCAAATAGTAGGTGGTCCTACACCATATTATCTTCCGTGTCATGCTCTACTCGGCACAGCTATGGTCTCGCAAGGCGCAATTAAAATAATGACAACACTATAGTGTTGTATTGTGTGGTCTGGGGATTACATTAGGTTAGAGTGGCAGCTGTGTTCGGTAATGTTAAGTGCACGAACACCTCAACCTTGTACATAGGAAAATTTTTATCCGCATTAGATCAATATAGTCTGCAATAAGGTTGGATGGTGCAATGATATACCATTCGGGCCGTTCTCCCAAGTAGATTCTGGGTAGCTTGAACACCTGTCCCGTTTGAGACAGGAGAAAGCTGGCTCGAATCCAGTAAGACCCACACACCACTCTCTCTCGCGGTGATATGGTATTTGTGGGATGACGAAAGCACACTTGGATAGCCACAGGTTTTCACGCTTTTCCCTGTGATGGATATGCACGGGAGAGGTTATACGCCGTAAGGGTTAGCCTCGAGCGGTATCTGCAAATGAAATCTGAGTGTGAGTGTTCTGAATGTCAAATTGAGTCATCCTGCTTAAAGCATATATTTTCCGATAAAAAACCTGCATGGACCCCAAGGTACCAAATTAGGACAACTGAATAATTTATTTATTTATAGTCTTTCATACACGAATATCAGACCACAAGTTTATCACATCCTGCGCATAATTCTAACCAGGAGTTTCAGCCCATCAACTACCGTAAGCTCATAATCACAACATATCGCCTGTAAGCACACACGCAGGCGCCATGTGGCTAGTCCACAGGTGTTCAAAAGACTCCTAATTTTCCCAGGCAATATTTGCTTGTGCAAATTGCGGCATGAAGCATCGTTCAGGGCAAAAAGCAGCTTGTAGGTCTTTTAAATACTACAAGGAGAGCGTTTAGTGAGCCCACTTCGAGCTTTCGGAATAAACGCCGGAAATTATACTAGAGGTTAATCTGACAACTGCGGCACAAAATTTATCAACGCCGTCTGACGATCACGGATTCATCCTGGCCATCGCTGAAAGGGTTAAGTTATTGAAATATATAACCCACTACTTAATTCGTGGATTTGTTGGTAGAGGTAAGCTTATGCAATAATGAAGGATAAAAGAATGTCAATTTGACTACACTTCTAAGTAGGGTACCAGACTCGTTTTAATCCCAATAGATAGCCCGTGCGGGATCTCCTATTAACAGCAGTAAACAACACTAACACAGGGAGGGCAAGACTGAACACCTGTTAGCGGTGTTCTCTACGAACCTGGGAGTGAAATATTCTCCCAGAGCCAAGTTCAGTCAAATTTCGGGGGACTATTCTCAACACCTGTCAGTGGTGTCCCCTACGAACCTCCAGCTCTCACTGTAGAGTCTGCAGAGCCGAGATTGAGTAACAAAGTCCTCACTTCGAAGAGGATTCCCAATCGCTTTCGCCATCAGATGGTAGGGTCGGAGCTCTACTCATCACCAAACCTTGATCACGGAGGAAAAGCCATCCGATGAGTTTCCGGAGCGTACCCAGCACCCGATACGGAGATGGTGGATTGGATCAAGTCGGCCTCGACTGTTACAAAGAAGGGAGATATAGATGAATATGCGCACCTCATGTGGTCCCGGTGTCTAGGCCTCGCCTGGCTGGGGCTGCAGGTTTTTTGAGACTTTTTCCCGCGCACGCAGTTTCCATTGCTACCATTTTTATTTTTTTTGGGTAGAAGGTTCCGTGGAAAAGGTGGCTGAATTCCACGGGTAAATACTGAGCTGAATGGCTATTCATCAAGGGGAATACATCAATGATCTTTCAAGTAACAAAAGAGGATAGGAGCACTGTACAAGGTGTGGCCTGGGTCAGAGAGGAGCCCAATGTGCTAGATAGTCATAGACTCAAGTAGTACAATAAAACACACACACACACACACTCAGTCAAATTTCGCAATATCAAAGAAGTAGGCCCACGAGGCAAAAATTCAAATTACTCCAGCACGTCAATCTTTCACTCCCAAAGAGTCCGATTCTCAACTAAGCTTCATCAAGTCTACAAGTACGACCTAGTACATCCTCGTTTCAATGACCACACCTCTCGTCGACTATCTCTGGCCTCAGCCGGTCACCAAATACACGCCCACGAAGATGTTTATATCCGACGGAGGAAGCAAAGCGTGGAGCACAAATCTGGCAGATAGCTCTTTGGGATGGACATGAGAGGGATCAGGACAAGTTTATAAGATGATGCAGAAGAGGGATACGTTTTCGACGGGCGTGAAATTCCGAATTTTGGCCAAGAGTTTTTACAAATT